AAATCCTTTCAAGAAACTACTAATACACACCTTTCAAAAAATACCTGGAGATTGCACACAGACCAGAGAAGAAAACTGAATTCCCAATTCTCTTAATCATTGCTCTTGGAGCTCTAAACTTTCTCTAGAACAAATAGTTAGAGAAATGAAACAAATGCACGCAAATTCAACTTAAATTGGCAATGACGAAGTTCTAGAACTTAATATTATTTTCAATATTTAGTTCTGTATTTTTTATTGATGGAAGACATATAAACATTAAGGGAAAATATAACTTTAGCAAGAGGCTTAGCTTTAATGGAGCCAGAACTTTTTGACGCAATTAATCATTACATTACTTGATTAAATAGAAACCAACAAATCTTATTTGATAAAAACCATATCCTACTTTGAGATAGCCCGATGGGAGCAGCCTTCAGCATTTCATGGTTGATAAGGATGTATTTATCGCTCCGCAAATCATTAGCAGTTGAGGCTAAAATCAAATTATCTTAATAAACAAATTCACAAAATTTTGATTTTCCCAATGGGCCCTATATTTATTCAAGAATAAATAAATAAAAAACACAGATACACACACAATAAGCATCTAATAATTTACTCTGAGAATTGAAGTATGTAAACCCAAATTTTCAACCACAAATAATAGTGAAAACAATAAGATATTGAAAGGTACCAAAAAAAATAATAGAAAGGCAGAACCCTTTAATTTCCCTTTTTTTTAAAAAAAAAAATTGACTAATTTCGGGAAATTAAGGAGTATTTCGTTGTGTGATTCATCTTCTTGGTAAATAGATATGAGATATGAACTTTCTTGCTCCCAGTCTAGGCACAGTTTTACGAATTGGTATTTCCCGAGCTTCTTTAGTTTGTGTAGACCAAGAATTACTCACATGGTCGAGTAGAGAATTGAATTGAGCGTTAGAAAATTTCAGTGCTTCCTCTAAAGTTTCCTCTCCATGTACTCTAAATTGTGCAGCCTCATACAAACTTAACAAGCCTTGTGCATTGCTAATCAAAGATGCATCAAAATTTCCTTTGTGGTCCTTGAAATTGTTGAATACATCTGCTTCAACCAAAAAAAAATATTTTAATTGTGCCCTTAAAAGATGGGCAAGATAAGGTGCATGATAACTTGGTCTAGTGGTTTTTCTTACCACATGAGACATAATATCATTGTTCTCTAGGTCATTGAAATCGAAGAACAAGGTACAAAGATCACTGTTTTGTTTGGCACAGCTTTCATTGTAAGTATCATGTACATATTTTAAAGATATTTCAATATGTTAGAAAATGGTAATTAAGCAACTCCAAGATGTTGGGTTTCCTCGATAAGGTCTAATGTATGCAAAGAATTATTTGGAGTATCCACTAGCAACTTTTTCACTTCTTTTATGCTTTGAGTTTCTTACTCTTCATAAGACAACGTATCCTATTCAAGTTATAAGATTAAGCATGTGTGTTTGTAGCTAATACTCAAAGCAAAAATCATGCATGTCATGAATATGAGTATGTGTTCATATCAATTCCTTTGAAAACATTATGTTAGGAAAGCGTCGCATTTAAATACTTATCAAAGTAAGCTCGAAATATTTTCACCGAAAACTTTCATTTTCATTGAGCCCTTAACCTGCATACCATGCATCGGATAAAGCTACGCATAATATCATTATCAATAATTAAATGGACAATATGATATCGTCACAGTCGAGTGGACCATCTTCCTGAGACCACAATGGGTACATCCCCTAACTGCCCTATGACCATCCAAGAAATATCCCAACTTCGGCGCCAACAATTATAATGTCACGAAGGCATGGTCAAGTGATCCACCCTCCCGTGATCACCAAGGGCACATCTTCTATCAGCCCTTGTAATCATTTGGAAAGTCTCACTCACGATACCAAAACATATCACAAAAGCATGCTTCACATACATTCGTGTGCTAATGGTGATTAATAAAACATTTTATAAGGTAAACTCATTTTTCTAATCATGTCGTGCATGCACATGCAAATAAAATCATGTAGCATAAAATAAAAATTTCAAACAAGAAACCAATATTTAAAAGAATGGAAAAAAGAGTAAGTATCATAAAGGTGAGGTGAGAATCGTAATAAAGAAAATAGTCTCTCCAAACTATAGCATGATATGTGACAGAGCAACCAACATTCTTAATGCCCACAGTTTTGGTGGAGAAAGGAGCGGCCGATGTATGAATATTCATTCTATATTGGACACGAAATGAACACTTTTATCTATTTTAAGCTTATTTTTGTTTGAAATTGTAAGTTAGGTTGATGTCTACTTATAGCCGTACGTTCGTTCTACAACTAATAAAATAATGTGCCATGATGTGTGGGATTGCATATTAAACTCAAATGCACAGTTTAAAAACACAATTATTGAAGTTGTAGACATATCAAGTTTTTAGAAGAATAAGGACTCGATTGGCAGTGCTTTTAAAAAAATTAAAAATTGCTTCTAAATATATTTAAATAATTTTTTAAAAGTATTTTGTCGGACTAAAAGAGTCTGGCTTCAAATTCTGATACTGATTTTGAAATTCTCTTTTTGTCTACAACTTATTAGGATAAATTGTTTTCTTTTACTTTTTAAGTAAAAAAGTTTACGTTTTCAAAAGTAACCTCAGCAAATATCAAAATAAGTAACTTTCAATTATTCAACAATTATTCACAATATTAAACATTATTTACTTATAAGTAAATTTATGTATTTCAATTGAACTAAATTTTTTCCTTATTATTCCTGATATGATGAATTAATAATAAAGTTTAAACCATCTCATGCGCGTATTATCTTATCCAAATTGACCAAAGGAGAAGTTCATCAAGTTGATTTGATACTGATATTCCCCTGTTCGAGCCCCATTTTTAAGGGAAATTGGTTCTGAAATAGTGATTTTTTGGAGAACGTGAAATTAAAAAATGGAAAAAGTTTTGAGTTTACCTGTAAAATTATTTTATAAGAGAATATACAGTTGAAAATGAGTTTTGAAAAAAAATGCACCAACCAGGAAACACGACTATAATAATAATCCTTATTTTATCTAATACAGTGCTCCAAAAGTTCTGAAAGGAAATCAAAATTTGGATTTAGAAGTCTTAATGTCACCTTTCGAAGCAAAGTTGTTACCACAGTCTCTTGATATCGAGGCTTAAGAGATATATTGTACAAAAAATTTTAAAAGAATCGAGTCTTCGCAATTTCAAAATCTTCCAAGTCTCAGTCTCTAGCCAGAATGGTTTAAGTCATTAGTAAATTCCTTCCTTTAGAATCATACTTGAGAATTTCCTAACTCGTCATACAGCACTACTAGCATTTTTTGTAGCACTCATGCATAACAAGTCGAAAACCGCTCTCTCTTGCAAAGACCAGACCAGACTAGATTGGATAGCAATGGCTTCAGCATTAACCTCGATCGAGTAGTACCCCATAATGCATGCAGTAAGCATCTATTACCGTGCCTTGATGGTGCCAAATCACCACTTCTATGCCAATGTGGTCAAGCTGTACATCAGCATCGAACGAGAAAAGTAAAAAACCAACAAAACTAATCAGTGGCAAATTCAGGATTGAAAGTTAGCTAGGCGAGCGTTGATCATTGATCGTCAACAATTAACGTCTATAATAACGAAGTCTTTTATCAATATTTAATTAAATAATATTAAAAAAAATCTTCAATCTATATGTAAATGAACTAAAATTCAATGTGTGATTTCTTTATTCTCCTGGTAATAAATGCATTTGCTCTATAATATGTCGACTAGATAGTAAATGCTCCAAAAATGTTTTACACAAAGTTCGACTATCTAAAATTGAGTCCATGGTGCGTAGTGCTAGACATAAATAACAAGAAGATGATTAAAACGTCGAAATAACATAGATTTAATGATTCAAACATGGAAACATTTAGAATTGCATCATGGGCAATTCTTCCAAAGTGATATCCACAAATGGGAAATTCTACTAAGGTTTTGCACCGTGACATGATCGCTCCATTCATCTAACAAAAATATTCATTAAACCAAGCAGAAAAATATTTCACCACTTCTACCAAGTGAAATAGAAAAAAATCAGATATTTGACATTAGCAATTATATATTTGATATGACACTAAAGTCTATAGCAAACTATTTAAAACTCAACCAACATCACAGCAGTTATATATGAGCATTATATCAGAATATAAGTCAGTAGGTAGAATAACGAGGCATGGACATGGACATAAACATAATGAGATTAAAGGAGCGCAGCATACTGCTTTGTCGTTGAGATGGAAGGAAGCGAGTCTCCGAGAAAAGAACTGTGGAAGCCTCTATTGCAGTTTGCATTTTCACACCTATAATCATTTCTGCTCCCACTTGTTGTACCGAATACATCATCTATGTCAAAACCCTCAAGTTAAATATGGGAGACAGAAAAATTATCCTCAAACACAAACCATTCATCCTTAGGCATTAATCAACAAATGAATTAAATTAACAAATCATAGTCATTGAAAAAAAAAAGAGGACATAAATCATTACTCTAAACTCATTACTCATAAATGATAAATCAACAAATGAATTAATACACATACGCACATACACACGCGCGCGCGCGCGCACACACACACATATATATACACACACACACAGAGACACACACACACACATATATATACAAACACACATATGACTGGCTCGGAGTTAGAGATCGGGGAGGTCAATGTCGACGTCAACTAGCCAACACCAGCAACAACAGATGGCCGAGTTCGCTGGGCAACAGGAGGGAGGAAGCCGAAAGGGATTGCATCGATTTGGAAATTGGAATGCCAAATTGATATTGCAGGCAATAGATTTGGACCATTTGGTAATTGATTTTCAATTGAACTCTATTGGGTATGGGCTTATTAAATAAATAAATAAATAAAATAAAAATCAAAAACAAAATCAAAAACAAAAACAAAATAAGATGCCCAAAACTGGGGAAAAAAAGGTGGGTATCTTCTTCCTATTGCCCTGTCGCAGGTGTGATTTTTTCTTCCTCTTCCCTAGCTGGCGGCTTCCGACTGCAACTACAACTTCAGACGGATCCAGCAAGTGCAGCAGCGCCCCTCGCCGGATGCTGGCTCCGCCACCAACTAATGATGTTTCATAAAACAAGTAAACCGAGTAAAGTTGCTAATGCTGCACAAGAGTTCCATAGTTTCACATTCTCTAGGAAGAATACACTAAAGTGCCATGAGGTAACAAACTCGTTTCTCATTTTCTAGGGTCTTATGACCAACTCGGCTAGCCACGTTTTTCTCTTTAGAGTATAGCATTACATTTGAGCTGTGAATAGGTGCCTCAATCTGAAACAAAACGACATATATTACTAGAGCACTACAGAACAATTAGATAACAAGAAAAGCTCTAAATTCATGGATGCAAAGAGATTGACAACAGAAAATATAAAGTTTTTAACAGATTGGAGATGAGAAAATAACCTTGATTATTTGGCCCGGTACTCCCTCTTCCCTGCTCTTCACGTGCTATGTCTTCAAGTTGATTTCTTTTATTACTATGGTGCTGTTATGCTTGATAACCCTTGTAACCTCTCCGGTTTTACCTTTGTCATTTCCAGAGATGATTTTTACAGTGTCTCCAACTTTAACATGCGTTTTGTGGAGAACTGGGAGGCTGTTTGGTTTGCACTCTTTCCTCTCCCATCGTTTGAGCTGCAAAGGAATTTCAGAATTTTCTTACAAACAAACTATTATTACATGAGATTGCTACTTATCAACAAACAAATTTTGTAACTTCTTTTCAGTACTTGTCTCCGTTATTCCTGACATAAAATAATATGTATCCTATACGCATACAAATAATGCAGGCAGCAGCTCATAAAGAAACTTCTTTTTTGTACTTGTGTTTCATAAATTGTTCAAGGTTGCAGGTGTATTTGGTACCTTAATATTAATTAGTCCCTCCTTATTGCTGTGTAAAAATGTCACTCATTCCTCCCATAGTCTAGGAAAGAAAAACCCATGAGCAGGCGAGCAAGGATTAATCCCACTGAATTGGAAATAGGATTACCTGAAAAGGATTTTTCTAAAATAAATTAATTATACCAAATGAGTGATTGACAATGGACTCTGGGGAACATCAAGACCATTATCAATCCTTTTCCTACTTAACCAAGTCCACCATAGTGTCTTTCCAAACATGCTAATCGTGCGCTTCATAGAATCAAGATTTAAAATACAGAAAAAAAGATCTTTCAGATAAAAACTTTTCAAACGCGTTGATTTTCTATTCACTTCACATCTACAAAGCCATGAAAAATGAAAGTTAAGTATGGCACTTCTTGATCGAGATGTTCATTCCTGTTTCTCTTTGACATATGATCTTCACTTATATTTATTCATGGAGAGAGAAAATTAAACAGGTAACAGGTAAGGTGAATTAAACAGGGAAAAGGAACTCCAAAAGGTTCTGAAAACAATGTAACACATTCATTTCATAATACTTGGTTAGACGTTCCATTTCAGAAAATGCAAAATGCCCTATCATATAATTCAGCCCCTTTGAGATTTCCGTCTTACTTGACAGCAAGACTAATGCAGTTAATCCTCATTCATACAAAGGAAATTGGATATTAAATTCACATACAAAGATATCCAAAAGTTGAAACCGAGCAAAGATGAACTTCCCAACACATTTAGACATGAAACAAATGAGGATATTATCTATGATAGTCCTTGGGAAGCCAACCCATTACTTCTGATTCATTTGCACACACTTTCTCCGTCAAAGAGAAATTAAGACACAACGTGCAATGACTCATCTTGTAACTCAAGTGGGAGAAAAAGTCCCTCTCAAAACCACTGAGCTCTCTTTATATAAATACAAATTTAACTCTTTTAGATAACTAGGATTATGATTTGATCCACGTTGTTCTGACAGGAGAGTCAACGGTTCAGAGATTGACAAGAAGAATTATGACAAAACAATACAAATTGTAATTCAGATTAGCTGGATATGCATTACAAATTTGTGATTCGACTTAAGAACTGCTAATGCACGGCAACTGCCCAAATAGCTTGCTACATGAATAGGTCAGTGAATTAATAATTAATCTCTGCTAATCCTCGCACAACCCCAAGCAATGCTTCCCAAAAAAAAAAAAAACGAATTATCAAAAAAAGCGTCCTAAATGATAAAAAAAAACCAGCGATGAAATTAATAAAATCGAAGACCCACTTGAGAATTTCAAGAATTTTAGCAGAACAAGAACTTAAATGTCACAATTTAAATAAAAAAAAATAAAAAAAAATGAGAAAGATGAAATTTTAAGGGCATACAGGAGGGGAAATATATGGAATTGATCCATTTAAGAAAAAATGGCCTTTGACCATTCAAAGGCTAAAATCTACCTAAAATACCCCCAACATAAAATTTATAATCAAGCCATCTTAATTTTAAAAGAGTTCAATTAAGCTCTCAAATTTTTATCTTTAATTTTTCAGCCTCGTAAAAAATTGGTATCAGAGCCTACTAACGAAACTGAAGAATATTTTAATTAAAATGAATAGAAAAGATAAAATGATTTTAGAAGAATTACAAAATATTGGTATATTAACTAATACTAATCGTATTGAATTGCAAGAATTAGCAACAAATTTAAGTACCGAATATAAATCTCTCAGTGAAGAAATAAAACAAATTAATAATTCTCAACAATTAGTTGAAACAAAAAATAAAGTATTACAAATCTTGGTAGATGAATCCCTCAAATACGAAGAGGAAGATATTATTATAAATCAATTTTTAAAACAATATGATAATTATGCTAATCCTTTAGGAAAACCAGACATTATTAATCAAGATGTCATGACTCGTATAAAAAATATGGAATCAAATTTAGAAATTGTTAATAACAATATTAAGATAGGACCAAAAATCCTATATAAACAGATTGAATCAAAATTTAAAGAATTAAAAAATAAAAAAGATTCTTATGTCTCTATTGAACCACCCTTAAGGTATATGTTATAGAAGAATTAGAAACAAATTAAAGCTACTGGAGAAGAATTAGAAGCTTATAAATAAAGCTTAGAACAATTAGCTATGCAAACTGAAAATATATATATGAATGATCCCCCACCTAAAGAAGAAAGTACTGAAATTAATACTCCACCTTTAAATCAAGAAGTTGAAAATCGACCGTTAATTGGAGAGACTAGTAGAACTAATATTAATACAGATTAGACTCAAGTTGAATCTGATGATTGAAATTTTGAATGGATAAAAGAACAAGAGGGCTACAATTTCAGAAAGGAACCAAAAACTATATCAATCAAACATATACATCTTAGAGATAATAATCCAGTAAAATTATTTACTGAACAAATTCCTACTATAGGAATATGGTTAGATATTGATCATAGCAATAATAAAAGTGAAATTATTGACTCTTGGGCAAAAGCTACTGATTTAGCTATTGCTTTTCATAAATGGAATACCACTCAAGCCTATAGCTTTATAATCCACACCTTTAGAGGAATTACTTCAGAAGAACTTCTGAAGAAACTAAAAATAAAATTAAATATAGCAAAAAATCTACAACTACCATAGATTGCAATGAAAGTTTAGATGCTGAAAATTTTAAAGAAGTGTTAAAACGAATTGAAAAATTTTTCAGACACCTATTATTAGAAGAAGTTATACCTGAAACTAAAATTGATATAATTACTCAAGAAACTTTACAAGCTGAAAGAGAAATGAAACTATTAAAAATTTGTTATATGTGTGAATTAAATGAATATACTAAGAAATTTGAAAAGATATATATCAAAGCATCTAAATCTATAAAAGAATGGAATTTATCAAAAGAAGATAAAAAATTATTAAGTAGATATTTTCTTAAATTACCTTGGTCATGGGGTCAAAAGTTATTTGAAGATGACCAAATCTATTGGAGTAAAATAGAATGGGAAGACCCTAACCACAAAGCTGATACTTTAGGAATGAGAACTTCATTCGCTAAAAGAAAAATCGTCGAATAGTGCAAAAAATCTATGTACCAACACCTATTTAGGAAACATGGTAAAAAAAAGCTAGTTTATGTTGTTATGGAGAAATAACATCTGTACCACAATTTGGTTGTCACCAACCATCTAAAAAACCATATTATAAAAAGAAATTTAAGAAATATTTAAAGCATTGGAAGAAAAACAAAGGATTTAAGAATCACAAAAAATATTTTAAGAAGAAAAAATCTTGGAATAAGGAATATAATCAGTATAAGAAGCCTCAGAAGAAATCTAAGGAAGAATTTTATAAAAAAATGTAAATGTTTTATCTGTAATGAATTAGGACATATCTCTCTCAACTGTCCTAATAAAAATACAAGAGAAAATGTTAAATCTATTAAATTAATGGAAGAAATTGAATACGATTCAGAATATGAGATAATTGAATATTTAGACGAATTATCTGAAACAGACTCAATTTATGAGCTTGATATTAAAGAGATTGAGGAACCTGAATATGAACAGATATATATAAATCAAGAAATTATTGATACTGTTGAAACTACCTTAGATAGTGAAGAAGGAACTTCACAAACTGTTATGTTTGATGAAGAAAGATATGGAGTTATAAAAGAAAAACAGATATCTTTAAGAGATAAAACTGTTTTTATTAGACCAATACTATCTTGGTTTAACAAAACTATATACATTGCCAAATATGATGAAGTACCTATTAACATAGAAAATGTTAAGGGCAATACTAATATACCTTTAATTACAATGAAATGGGTTAATAGAGAATTAGCAAATATTAAAAGATCCACTAGAGAAAGATTAACGAATATAGTGATTGGAGTAATCCAAATCATGATCAAATGATACTTTAGAGAGGGTATGGATATTCCTATACAAATATATTTAATGGATAATAGGATACTTCATGATCCTATGGACGCTCTATTAGTAATTGTCTCTGGAAATATTGTTTATAAGAAAATTATATTTACTATAAGACCTGGATTTGCCATGTCTATATTAGATGAAAACTTAAGTTTAGGATTAAATCTATATCACAAAATTGATAGATTAAGTATGCCACCAAGAAATAAAGCTGTAACTTTACATTGTAAAGCTTTATATGCTTTTACTACTACACACCAAAAAGAAATCAATACAATTTCAGGAGAATTCATAGAAATTCATGAAGACTTTAAAAACCTTGCACAATTTACATCACCAAGAATGCTAAGTGATTGCAACATATCGTTACCACAAGAGATATTACTTGATTTTCATCAACAATCTAGAAGAATAGACAGTAATGTAGGTAATCAAGGATTGGTAACTTTCAATTCTTTTGGACAGTTTGTAGTTAGAATGCCTAGTAGAAGAATAGAAAGAAGTATCAGTACTAGAGAACTCTCAAGCTCTAGTAGACCATCTACAAGTAGAAATTACACAACTATACCTACAAATAGTATTGATATTGATTTAAGAAAAAGTGAGGAAGATAATTTCCTGAAAAAGTGAGCGATCCTCAAAAGAAAAGAAAATCATAAAGAATTTCTTTGTAATCCATTGTGTAAATGCCCAGAAGAACTTGTTGCATACACTTCATGTGCTTTTAAGGATGCAGAAATCATATATGATATTAATCGTAAAGAATGTTTGGTTGTTAAGAAAGGAGTAACAAAATTTGAAACTTATTTGTTACCTAAGAAATTTCT